AATTGAATCATTATTTATGTAGACTATGATGTTTAGTTTAGTTTTGAACAAAACATAACATATCAATGCATAAAAATAAATTATGCATAAGTGACGAAATTTTATATATTTCACATATTTCTTGATTTTGATTCAATCTTAAGGTAAATAACAATATGAGAGTTTCCTTGTACTTACTAAAGATGTTATTAAGGTGTGAATCTTGACAAAGATTGTCAAGTTGACTCTCTGCCTTGAAGAGGACGTCAACTACTTAAGTGAGGGAGACTTTTGAAGGAAACATGCATTTAAATTTAAAATAATTAGATCTTAGGCTACAACATACATGAATCAAACATTCAAAGAGGCATAAGTGAATTTTAGTTTTTATTGAGCCTAATGCTATCCAATTTCCCAAGTATATTTCTAGGTCTAATCTCATTTATGCACAAAAAGAAAAAGGGAGGAAATGATTAGACTTTCTTACCCTTGAAGCTCTCTTGGATGGTCTCCAAGTTTTCACCTCTGGAAAGAACTTTTTCCATATGCTTGCTTCATAGATTCGTCACAAAGATACCAAAATAGGTACCCTCTAGGTCATATACACCAATGGCATGTTTACTAATCCGGAATTGAATTAGGGGGAATTGAATTGAGGATGAATTGAATTGAGGAGGAGTTGGATTGAGGAGAATTAGATTCCGGAGTCCTAGTGAAGTTGTTTACTAAACCATATGGATTGAGGGGCAATCTCTCATCTCTCTCAACACCATACCCAAAGCTTATGAGGCTCAAACCCTAGAGAGAAATGGTCTTATGTGTGGCTTATATAGCCAACACATGTGTGAGGAAAGTCTTCCACCAATATGGACGGCCAAGGGGGTTTTTGGGCTTCTCTTGGGCTTCATTTTACTTGTGTTGTCATACAACACTTGTTCCTAAACCCAATGAGTCCTTGGGCTATTTTGGCATTTGGCCCAAAATGTCTTTAAAACCCAAACCAAGTCAAAATGCCAAACAAACTTCATAATTAACAATCTAATTATGATTTGTGACTTAACCACTTAACCATAGTTTGTAGTGTTTGACATGGTGAACCGTTGTAAACAAATGAGTTGACTTTAAGTTTGACCGTTGACTTTCAACGTATTATCTTCTTCATTTATTCCTCTTATTACATTTATTGGTGTGCGATTTGTACGTTCCATTTAGCGAGGTAGTGGGTAGGTCCAATTTCTCTGAGCCGAGCGTGAATTAAATCACATCATTTAAGTCTTCCTATTAGTGAAGGCTATTTACAATTAGACCTTTCAAGGCTTCCACAAGCTATGAGTGACACATAGTAGTAAGTCATGGCTACCCAAGCTAAGTAGAAAGGTGAATAACCTATTGAAGTTGGAATTGTCGTGCAATTGAGTCCTTCTCTATTACAGTGCTCCTAATTCATATTGTCAGGGTATGAATACTTTTGTCAAAATCCTAATATGAATTCTCCACTTATATGATTACATTGGTTATGTTTAGAAACTTCCTTTCTAATCATATCCATTACTAAAGATTTCCCAATCATATCTTTGGAGCATTCTTTCCTCTTACTTAGAGTAGAGATCTCTTGTTGGACATTCACTTGTCTCTATGAGCTCATCGAGACTCTTGATGATCGCCTTTTGAATCATATCTCTCGACACGACCGTATAATGATTTCAAAGACAAAAAGATATGAGTTCTTGTTTGACATGTGAGTAAGATGTTCATCCTACACACTTATCTTAGTATCTCTACACGTAATGTCTTGAGACTAGTCATTCTCTCAATCGAGTAGATATAGTGTGTACCAATCTTTGTGGATGATCAATGCCCAATTGATAATCCTATGACCGGAAAGGTTTAGGAAATGATGTGGAAGTATGAGATGTCTCCTTATATCTAATCTCATTGCATATCCCTCATACTATTTTATATTCTAAGGGCTTTTATTTTACTGTTATGATTATAAACCAAATATCATGTTTGAAAACAACGATATTGCCCATAAATAATAGTGAAATATCTAGAAGGCAAAATCACATGTTTGATTTTAGGGCATATTTTCAACAAATATAACACCCTAGGATGGCGTGTGAGTCCCACATCGGCAAACTACTAGGTTGATATGAGCTGCATAAGCTATTTCAAGAAGCTTCATTAGTGACTGGTTCTTTCGGGGTATAACACTGGTGGTGTGTGCTTCCTAAGGCAATTGTATTCCACCCCTTTGTTGTTTTTCTATATAACAACTGTTTTATTTTCATGTTATTCTATTTGTTTTAATTTCTCTCATTAATAAGTAAAATAAAAATAAATTAAGTAAATATTATATCAAATCATGTCAGATTTGTTTCATTAACTTAACGGATTAGCGGATTCGAAACATAATCGGTTCATCAAATTATGTAACAAGATCCATCTCCTATTAATTTCATCGAATTTGGATCAAATTGGATCAAAATCTGATCCAATGATAACTCTAGCTACATACCCTTTGTTTGATACAAGCGATATTCTACTTTAATATAATCTAAGCTACGGGGATAGGGATTCAAACCCTAGTGCAGAGTGAGGAGTATATCTGCTCTAGCCAACTTAGCTAATCCCATATACGCAGCTATACACTCTTTTGTCTGCATCACCTTTTACCAAAATAGCGACACACCTGCATAGCACTCTAAATAATTCAATTAGAAACAGACAAAAATGTCTTGATAGTATAGCCCATCATTTATGTTTGTAACCCAGCATTCAGCCCAAACCCGTAGGCCCCACCACCAATCCAAGTTCCATAACGTAACCCTCTGGTCCCTCTCTTCCTCTCAACTTCTGCCTTCTGCCTTCTCTGTTCACTCTTCTCCATTTTACATTTCTTCAATTCTTCAAGTTCCATCTCCGATTCCCAAAATCCATCTGCTTCTTCCTCTTGTTCGGATCATCTTCTTCGATCCCATATTCTTCTTCTTCTAGGCCTCTGTGCCTGACAGTCACAGCCTCACTCACCCACTGACCCAGGTATATTTCCAAGAACTTCTTTTAATTTTTAAGTTTTCCTGATTTAGGATGTAATTAGGATTCAAATAAGGTTTTAATCTAGATTTTAATTTAAGGTTTAATTCAGGTTTGAAGTGGGGGTTTAATTGAGGGTTTAACTTAGGTTTTTAAATTCGGTGGGTTTTGATATTTTCAGTTCCTGAAGTTTTACGTTTTCACTTTGGTTTGTTGCTTTTGGGATTAATTTGTTTTGGTTTCTCTATATTCTCAAAAGGCCCATCTGATTTGGCTGTTGATTTTGTTTGTGTTTTGTTTGTATTTTTTAATGGATATTTTCAAGAGAATTCTTTTGCTGAAGAAAAAGCATAATTAGATAAGATATTCAGCTTAGACCATGTTCAAATCCTGGTTCCAGCCCTGTCATCCAAACCTTGTCGAATGGTGAATGTGGGCAATCTCAGCATTCCAAGTCTTTTCATCGAGCCTTGTTCGCTTTGTTTTTCTCTGTTTTAGCTGAGACAACTTCATATAAGGGTTGCACTCGGTCATTTCAAGTCATATCTTTGACATTGTCAGGTTAAATTCAGTGACAATCATGCCAGACGTGCATTCCCTGGTGAATGATTTCCTTATCAAGCTTAAAAAACGGTAAGTTCTTCAGCACAATTCATAGAGTCTACTGGTGCAAGTTGAGGGCTCTTAGTGGTTAATAGCCCATTTTCATAATTCATATATCGATTTTGGATTTTTTTTTGTGGCAGTAATATTGAGGGCTCACAGGCCACAGCAAAGCTGACAGCGGAATTACTTCGGTCCGTGATTTCATCGCAGCGGGTACCCTACACAAATCAAGCTGGTGCCTTGATAGATGCTGTTAAAGCAGTTGGGGAGCAGCTGATTGCTGCAAATCCTATTGGTAGGTTATTGAAAAGTTACAAAAGTTTGTTAATCATGATGATGCGGTATTATTTATTTTGATGAGTAAATTTTGTCATTAGTACAAAGGTCATTGATATTACTTGAAAATCTTTCTCTGTAATATCTTAAGAGACACAGGGCAGTGTATTGAATCTCTTTTCATCTGAAGGTGGATTTTCCATAAAAACAAACCACAAAATTTCTTGTTTCTATTTAACAAAGTTCTGTTTTGTGATAGTTATTTGATCACATGATTGTGGGTCCCTTTGGCTCCATATTGGCAGAATCAAATAACATTCAATTTGTAGTAACATGAATTCCTCCGCTGTTAGTGTGGGATTGAGAAGCTAGGATTATGGTTTTACTCCTCCCACTGTATATACCCAAGAAACATAAATAAAATTTGTGATATAAACACCTAGCCTTGCTAAAACGCTGTCCCTACTAAAGAAAAGAAGTGACATGGTACAACGGAGCATAAAGAAGGATTTTCTGCTGATTAGTAGTGATGATAGCTTGATCATTCTATCATCAGTACATTAAGGGGACATTTTAGTAGTGGTTGATTGAACAGTCTTTTAAGCTAGCTTGAAGAGTTTTTGGGAGAAGATATTTGAAATGTACTCCTTTGATTGATATCAAGGGAGGTTGCTATGCACATGTGTAACAATAATTATGTGGATATGAGGCATTTCTTATTTAATTTTTGTTATTTTAGACTAATTTTTTATTCAAGCACATGCCAGCTGTACTGAATTTTTATATTTACTTGCAAACGTAGTTCAACTATCAACTTATGTTTGCTCAGTCTATTGACCAAATTTTAAAAATCTCGATGCACTGTAATTCTAGCATGTTACCATTTTTGTTTATCATTACTTAGTACTCCTGTGTTCTGAAATGAAATGATAGCTCCTTTCAACCGAAAAACAATAATTGTATCTCCTAGTTGTAGAAAGTCAATGTATTTTATGCGGGCATTTGAATTTAGAATCTTAGATATATTTTTATCTTCAGATATACTGCAAAGTTTTTCTTTTTATATGGACTTTGGAGGCTTATTTGTTTAATTATTCATAATGATGTTTTGCAAATATGATCGCAGAGCTGGCTGTGGGTAATATTGTGAGGCGTGTTCTGCACATTATTAGGGAGGAGGATCTTTCTCTCACTACAGCTGCTATGGCTGGGTTGAACATGTCGACTGTTAGTGATGATGAAGATGATGGTGAGCGCGACAACCATCCGGTTCTATCTGCTGCTGTTGTTGCTGCTGCTGCAAGAAGCACACTGCGTCCACCATCTTTGCAAACACTTCTTGAGGACATGCCTGATGCAGCAGCTGTTCCTCACACTTCTTCATCTGGGGGTGATTCTGAAGAAAAAACCAAATGTATGATCTTCATTCTTTGGAGCATTGGGAATTTCTATTAATACACTTTCATTTTTCTCTTTACCTGATCAAAAATTTGTTTAGAGAATATAGGCATTCGATATATTCTGACCATAAATGTGGCTTTTTTGTTTGGATATTAGTTAATTAAAAATTGGTTCCCGCAGCAGTCTCGGCTGTGGTGGTGGAAATGAAGTTATTACCTTTTAATAGAAGATTACAGTCTTATGACTTATAGATATATGTTTTCCCACACAGCTGCTGATAAAAGTTCAAGAAGTCGGAAACTGAAGCATGATGTCATTGAAGCAGTCAATGAACTTATACAAGATATTGGCACTTGCCATGAACAGATTGCTGAGCAGGCAGTTGAGCACATTCACCAGAAGTATGTATTTCCCCCTAGCTTTGACTATTCATTTTTTCTTTCAAATATAGAATCATTTTTCGGTCATACAGAAGCTCAATATCAATCTTAAAATATGCATATGCAATGTAATAAGTAGTGTTAATTTGATTGTATGAGATTATTATATTGCTACTGCTCTGTTTCTAATCCGCATGGAGTATTTCATTCACGGGTTTTTGGTGGTTTATTTTAGGGTCAGTTTGGTTGAGGTACTAAATTATTAATTGTTTTTTTTGTTAGAGAATTCGTTTTGTGTTAGCTACTAGCACAACAGAAGAAATTAGTTTGGGGCCAAAACGTGCTTCCATAATCTGTCAAACAATTTTTATGTATTTGTACAAAACCTTGTGACTATGTGACAATCAAACCCTTGTGACTGTACTCAGTCACATCTTATTTCATTCTTTGTTTATTGGTTGGATTGCATTTAAGGCTTAAGGTGTTTAGTCTCTAGGATGCAGGCTTCAGCCATCAAACCTAAATTCACACTTCTAAACCCTTATAAACTCTAGAACCTTATGAACTCCAGCGTGACGTGAAAAATGAAGTATTTTAACAAAGCTAATCTCCAAGCATGAACCTTAAACCAGTCATCAATCAAATTCCAATGAAAGCTAACAAACAAAAAGAAGAAAAAACTAAAATAAATCTCCAAACAAAACCCAGATTCTGAATCTAATGCATAATTATAGTACTAATTCATATTTGTGGAATAGCTTGATGAGCACTGGGGTTATTTGTGCATTCCATGTCTCATACACTGAGTATGACTACCTGAGTGCTTGATGGATTGTTTTTATACTCTTTGTGTGATAAGCCATTCATGGAAATGTTTGGAAGCTTGAAGTCTTGAGTAGCTGAGGTTAATTTGACTAAGTTAATATTCATGAACTAGATAAATAACCTTAATGATATGGTTACAATTTACTGTCACTGTAAAAGTTGTGATGTTGTAATCGTCTGTGGAGTGGTTCCCTGTACTTGTTAACATGTGGCATATATACAATTGAACACTGTATAAAAGTTTCAGGAGGTCTAAATATGTTGTTATAATCTGTCATTCTCATGATCAAATTTTCTGGTGATGATTTTTGTTATAATTTCTGCAAATAGGAATTTCTTCCCTCTGGTAATGCTTTGCAATAGTGTACTGTTCCCATGTAGAAAAGATTGATAAAATTGATAAAAAGGAGATCTTTTAAACTCTTGATAGTAATAAGATTGTTACATTGTGATGAGAAAAAATAAATTGTTTTTATTCACCATTTTCTTTCATGGTTGAATTCTTGTGTATGCTTGGTACTGCATGCTTATTTCTAGCTGAAGTTTCTAAATTCCAACAATCTGTGACTTCAAGTGCTGGGTAGCTGCATAGCCTGGCTAATTTAATTTGAAATTTTTGGTGGAAACCTCATGTAGAGCACAATCTAACATGCATTGGGGTCAGATTGATCTTCTGAATGTTTTGTGTTTTATTATTAAACATTGGGATCTAACTTGTTGCATTTGCATTCATCTTGCACAAATTGCTGATCTATATTATAGTTGTCTTATTGTTCCCGTACGCGCTGTTTTTCACATATTAAAAAGCATCCATACACCTTAATGAAGTTTTCTTCTCCATCCATTGGGAATATATAGCTATATATGTGGAGTGGTTGTAGATATTTATCACACTATGCAGAATTATATCAAATGATTAATTGATTTTTCATTCAACCTTATAGAATTGTTCTATTTTTTTATTTAAGAGAAAAAGAATGAAAAGGTTTTCCATTTTCTGTTTTATCAGCAGATAGAACTAAATACAAGTTTAGTAAGTTCTTGTTATTCCTCGTCTACAAATACCAAATTTTGATGCCTAATAATACCCCATATATAGTGAAAACTGCATGGGAACAATGATCAATTTTAGCTTGAATGGTTTGTACCGGAATTTTAATTGGTATAGCTTTGTGGTATTTTTAATCATGCTGTGAACTGATATTATTTTATTTTATTTTTATAGTGAGGTTATATTAACTTTAGGCAGTTCAAGAACAGTACTGGAATTTCTTTGTGCTGCAAATGAGAAAAAAAGATCATTTCGGGTATTTGTTGCAGAGGGAGCTCCAAGGTTAGTGCGCAAAAGTTTACCTGCTTGTTCCAAACGAATAGGATCCATAATTGGTGTAATTTTGAGGTTTTCTTGGTGAACTATTAGTACCTATTTGTTCCAAAGAATAAGATCTATAGTTGGTGTAATTTTGATGTTTTCTTGATAAACCAGTAATCTTCTTGTTAATTGGTTTCTATTAGGTATCAGGGCCATCTTCTAGCTAAAGAATTGGTTGCAAGAGGTTTGCAAACCACGCTGATCACTGATTCAGCAGTTTTTGCCATGATATCCAGAGTGAACATGGTAGGACGCGTTCTTAGTATTTTCTTTTTCCATATGGAAATCTGCATCCCTGTTCCAGCTTCATATTGAATTTTGTAATGTTATAGGTTATAGTTGGCGCTCATGCTGTCATGGCCAACGGTGGTGTTATAGCACCTGTTGGATTGAATATGGTTGCACTTGCAGCGCAGAGGCATGCCGTCCCTTTTGTTGTACTTGCCGGCAGTCATAAGGTAACTTAATACAATAACTGTTGTAGTTGCCTTGGTGATTATCATTCATAAATTGGTGGTTCTTTTTCTTTTACTTTGGGCTGGGGAATAAAAATATAACTTATATTCACAATGCACGTAAAGGGGCACAAGTCAAGTACACAATAGAAGGCTACTATAGAAAAAATAAGTGGAAACTATAAAAATGTAGACTTGTATCACTAAAACTTCAAGACATGGAGCAGAAGAAGTGGGTTCCATCATTTAAAATTTTACGAATGGATAACATAAACTAGAAGGCTACTATAGAAAAAATAAGTGGAAACTATAAAAATGTATACTTGTATCACTAAAACTTCAAGACATGGAGCAGAAGAAGTGGGTTCCATCATTTAAAATTTTACGAATGGATAACATAAACATTTTATGTGAGGATGCTAGACAACTAAAACACATAAAAAGAGAGGAAAGGGAAGGTTACAAAGGCTTGAACTCCAGCTGCATTAGAAGGAATCATTTAACTGCAAGTAATCCACCTGTGGAAATGATCGAGTATTGCCTAAGAAGTGCCCTCAGAATTGTTGGAGGCAAAGCCAAGACACCCAAAACGGGGAATTTTTTCAAACCAAAGCTCCCGAGCTACCTGAGAATGAAGCAAAATACAAATTATTGACTTGTAAGTAGTGTTTAAATTGTTGACTAATGCACTGAGATGAAGGTTCACATTTCGGGTTTTGCGAGCCCACCAACACTGATACAGGGTTGGAAGGTATACCTGTCCACCCTGTCTCAATGTCTCTGAGATGTCAGTAAATTGTGGTATCAATGGAAATATGAGGCTCCCCGATAAGCCACAAAAATTTCTAGTGATATATTGGTTGTATATTGCCGAATCCAAGAAAAGGATAAAATTGTGAATAAATTCTTGATAGGATTCAACTCATCTGAGCAAGATAGACTTAGTTAACCAAATGACTGTGTTAATGCAGTCTGGAACTATGGAATCTTGTAATTCCAGTGCAGAGTATCTTGAATAATTCACTTTTCCCTATATTCCTGGCATCCTCGCATGATTCAGCAAGGCATACTGATACATATGGTAGCATCAGAGAGTTATTTTTCTACGGTCAGCTATATTGAGGTTTAGTTATTAAATTTTCGAAGTCTTTTTTTTTTTTGACTTGTTTAGACTAGTTTGGGGATCAGGTCCTATGGGATTCTGTAAGCAGAGTTGGTGCTAACTGGACTGAATCATTGAACTGGGCGTAATATTATCTGTAGCTTATTTATTGGATGTTGTCTTAAATGCTTTCTTTATTCAAAATCTTTTGGTGGTGGTTTACATGACAGTTGTGCCCTTTGTATCCTCACAATCATTGAACTGGGCGTAATATTATCTGTAGATTATTTATTGGATGTTGTCTTAAATGCTTTCTTTATTCAAAATCTTTCGGTGGTGGTTTACATGACAGTTGTGCCCTTTGTATCCCCACAATCCTGAAGTGTTGCTGAATGAGTTAAGATCCCCTTCTGAGCTGCTGGATTTTGGAGAATTCTCCGATTGCATGGATTTTGGAAGTGGCACTGCTTCCCCGCTCCTTCATGTTGTCAATCCTACATTTGATTATGTGCCACCAAAGCTTGTCAGTTTATTTATCACTGATACGTAAGTCAACTAATTTCGGACCAAATGGATTTGAATGAATGAAAGATTAAAGTTTTCACCTTTTGATTTCTTTTCTCAGTATTTTGCACTTATTTAGTTTTCTATTTCCCAATTTTCTAGCTAGTTTGTCAATTGCAATTGTTATTCCTTCACAGAGGAGGGCATAATCCGTCATACATGTACCGGCTCATCGCAGATTATTATTCTGCTGATGATTTAGTGGTCCAACGAAGACCTGCTATAGGAAGTTGAATTCAGCTCCCGCATGTTTATCCTATTATTGGGGTAAGTTTTGAGATTAATTTTAGTCTAACGACCATTGCTTAGTACTTTGCACTGATATGTCTTGACTCCATCTTTGTCATGGTCTGCTTTGATTTTCATGGGCCAAGAATCAAGTAAAATACCATCATATTTTATCATTGAATTTTCGTTAAAAAATGATAATTCAATAAGGAGACTAACAGAGAATTTTTGCTACTGAACTGAACTTGTATAATAGATCATATACACAAAATTTCAGTTAAGGATGATCACTCTGAGGAATAGTTAACCCAAATTTAATGAATGATTTAAACCTAATAGGTAAATGCTAATGTAGACCAAGCGAAACTCTTTTTTTTCTAGATTTAAACTCCAACTAATATATGTGAAATGATAAGTCTTCAACTAATATATGTGGAATGATAAGTCTTCAACTAATATATGAACACAGCTAACAAGCCTAATATGAGGAACCAGATCTAGTTTTGTTTTTGTATTTTTTTTGTCTCTTATGGGTTGAGAGGAAAATGATGTAATTAAATTTGGACAGTTTTCTCTTGATCCCAGGATTTAAGGTGGCGTTGGTGTGCTTCAAGAACTCTTTAGTACTGTTGTCCATGTAATTATTGTAATCCTGATCTGTAGTTTGAACCAACATTTTCGCTGTACTCAACTTTCAGGTAGTACAGAAAGCTATAATGGTAATGGATGGATGAAGAGAACATCAAAATAAACAGTAGTTTTATGGAACCATGAAGACCGTTATCGTGCTAGAAGAGTCCTTGGACAAAAATTGCAGTTCGGGGGAGTAGCAGTATGAATCCGGGACAGAACCATCTACAAAGATTAGACCCAATTTTGTGTATGCGGTCATTTAGGAAACTTAGAGCTGTATTCTACATAAGTGAATAGAAGGTGATTTTTGTGATTGTGGAAAGACAAATAGGCAGGCATTGTGTTGCATGACAAGATATTGTTGTATTCCATGTAGCTGATCTTGTTCCAAATTGTTTCTGCCGTACCTGCTTTTGGTTAATAGATGAGCTGAATTTTACTAGAGTTGCAGAAATCCTTTTTTATTTTTATTTTTTTAAAAAAGGGAAAAACTCGAGTAAGGGATTTTTCACCATCCATAATAAGGATGATTAAATAACAGATGAGTAAGATCTTTCACCATCTAATCTAACGTCTATTTCAATGTTTTGAGTTACACATGCTTTTAGAACTTGTGCTATTCCAATATCCAGTCAACTGCATCAGTCATTCTTAGGTTTTCTATTAGTAATTTAGAATGGTTCAATATTATACGCAAAACTTAAGATCATTCTATTGCTACAAATTTCACCCACAATTCTCTTTTCGTTAATGCCATCTTGGCTATGACCACTTGAGGTAGGAAATAAAATTGAAAATTATTACAATACTTGAAATACATACAACATAGTCCATTTCATCTAAAGAATGTCTAAAGTACAATTTTACAAGTGCCCAGTGTGATGAACAAGACATCACTGGTGCTCTACATCAAACCAGAAAAAGATCGATGTCCGGGCATAAATTACTCGAACTCGCTGCAATGTCAAGTTTCCACTAGTCAGAACAGCCTTGGCACCTCCTTCAATTCGAGTTCGAAATACGGAAACACCGTCCTTAGAACATTTCACGGAGGAAGGTAATACCGTCTGGGCACTAGCAGTGCTCACAATAGGGCACGAAAGATGGTCCAGGGGATTTGACTCGCATTGAAGCACACACCCCTCTATTGTCAGCCTTCCATTTCTATGAAGCAAGCAACAACCAAGCTCTGCCTTCACAGTCAAGTTTGCCAATTTGCAGGTGGACAGCAACTCCAATGCACTGCTCAAACAAAATGAACAGTGCATACCAAACTTTTTGCCAATGATAATAATAAAAAAATAATAAAAATACTGGTCATACTTTCAGGAGCACTTCCATACTGCTACGGTAACAATAAAAAATAACCACCCCCAATGATATCATTAATTTTTTTTTTTATAAATAAAAAAGATGATAAAAAATAAAAATAAAAAAGCCCTTTCAATTGGTTGGTTCATATGGAAGCTGATTCACCTTCAACGTTGAAACTAATAGTCAAGTAGGAAGACCAACATGAGGACCTCCCACAATGCGGAAGTGGCATGTATGTATAGTAAACTCAAGGCAAGATGATTTTGTACTCAGCTCCCTAGAGAGAATTGATAGTGCATCCAACCAATACGCTCCAACATCATCCAACATAAAAATTACAGACTCCACACATTAACTACATCAGAACCCATGTGTATGGGACAAGACCTTAAGCTCAAATACACTCTTTGGCTGTTGTTTTGTGGAAATAAAGGATAGAAAATAAATAGAAGGAAAATCATATTTTTAACACATTTCTTTGATATTAAATATTAACCTCTTCAAAGTAAATTTGTATATTGTATAGAAAATATAGGAAATGGAACCAGATTTCAATTTAGAACACAGAGTCAACATTTTAAAACATTTGTGAATGGCAACCTCTAGGTCTATCAGTACTTTATGATAATTAAGAAAGCAAAAGTTTTGAAAAATAAACAGAAAAAACCATCATTTTTAATTAATATTCTTGCCTTATACAAAACCATCATAGAGAAGGCAATCTCAAACAAATTGAAAAACAGAACGAGTGAACAGATTACCAACAAATTTTTACAGGAAATAAAATTTCTATCCTCCAATATTTGTGTGTAAAAAGAACTCCGTCAAAACAACCACAATTTTAATTTTGTCCAGTAAAATCTAACAGCATGGAAGTGGCTCCTAGAAAGATTTGAGAGAGAAATCTCAGACAACCATCACACGAAAAGAAAA